ATTGGGTTAAAAACAGGTGTAAAATGAGTGAAAATTGCAAGAAATATATAAATCGGATTTATATCATTATCTTTGGCTGAATCATTTTTTTTATTTAGTGTAATGAGCACAGATAATATACTTAATAATTGATTAATAAATGGAATAATTACCTGAAAATTTAAAATAAAATTAAATAAAATGTACTAGTGTAGTTTACACCCCATAAGCCACGCCCATTTTTCTTCTCTCTCCAGTTTGTAAAAAGTGACCGTTGGGCCGATATTTTCATTTTATTTCAGAAAATAAGTCTTAAAACAATGAAAGAGAGAAGAGGCGGAGCTTATGGGGCGTAAACTACACAAATACCCAATAAATTTTATATACCAGAATTATCAGTGTTATTGTCAATTGTTTAAGCAATCTCTTCATATTTTGACTAAATCCACTATGTAAATTAACATAATGAACCATTTTATAGCCACAAATGAAAATTATAATAAACGGAAGTATTGTAATAACAGTTACAATTAATGGTGGAAAATCCTTTCATTTAAAAATAAATTACATTGGAAGTAGTTTGTTAAACAGTTAACTGAATAGAACTCGATAACCCAGAGTTTTTGGAGAATTAACAGGAACTGTGAATAATGGGGGACCGAAAACCACCAATAAAATAATTCTGATACCTTTACTTTAATAGAACCAAAAGGCAAAGTTTTGTTCAATTCGTCAAATTGTTTAATCCCTCCATCATATATAGCGGTGATAAAAATCAAATTATAAAGCAAAACTACAGGTATTATAATTGAAAACATATATAAGTAGCGTTTAAAGCTTGTCTTCATGTTTCTATAAATTTGTGTTTTGTTTTAAATTAATTCTGATTTTGTTTTAAATTAATTCTGATTTTGTTTTAAATTAATTCTGATTTTGTTTTAAATTAATTCTGATTTTGTTTTAAATTAATTCTGATTGTGTTTTAAATTAATTCTGGTATGTTTTAAATTAATTCTGATTTTGTTTTAAATTAATTCTGATTTTTTAAAAATTAATTCTGATTTTGTTTTAAATTAATTCTGATTTTGTTTTTAATTAATTCTGATTTTGTTTTAAATTAATTCTGATTTTGTTTTAAATTAATTCTGATTTTGTTTTAAATTAATTCTGATTTTGTTTTAAATTAATTCTGATTTTGTTTTAAATTAATTCTGATTTTGTTTTAAATTAATTCTGATTGTGTTTTAAATTAATTCTGGTATGTTTTAAATTAATTCTGATTGTGTTTTAAATTAATTCTGGTATGTTTTAAATTAATTCTGATTTAGTTTTAAATTAATTCTGGTATGTTTTAAATTAATTCTGATTTTGTTTTAAATTAATTCTGATTTTTTAAAAATTAATTCTGATTTTGTTTTAAATTAATTCTGATTTTGTTTTTAATTAATTCTGATTTTGTTTTAAATTAATTCTGATTTTGTTTTAAATTAATTCTGATTTTGTTTTAAATTAATTCTGATTTTGTTTTAAATTAATTCTGATTTTGTTTTAAATTAATTCTGATTTTTTAAAAATTAATTCTGATTTTTTTTTAAATTAATTCTGATTTTGTTTTAAATTAATTCTGATTTTGTTTTTAATTAATTCTGATTTTGTTTTAAATTAATTCTGATTTTGTTTTAAATTAATTCTGATTTTGTTTTAAATTAATTCTGATTGTGTTTTAAATTAATTCTGGTATGTTTTAAATTAATTCTGATTTAGTTTTAAATTAATTCTGGTATGTTTTAAATTAATTCTGATTTTGTTTTAAATTAATTCTGATTTTGTTTTAAATTAATTCTGATTTTGTTTTAAATTAATTCTGATTTTGTTTTAAATTAATTCTGATTTTGTTTTAAATTAATTCTGATTTTGTTTTAAATTAATTCTGATTTTTTAAAAATTAATTCTGATTTTTTTTAAAATTAATTCTGATTTTGTTTTAAATTAATTCTGATTTAGTTTTAAATTAATTCTGGTATGTTTTAAATTAATTCTGATTTTGTTTTAAATTAATTCTGATTTTTTAAAAATTAATTCTGATTTTGTTTTAAATTAATTCTGATTTTGTTTTTAATTAATTCTGATTTTGTTTTAAATTAATTCTGATTTTGTTTTAAATTAATTCTGATTTTGTTTTAAATTAATTCTGATTTTGTTTTAAATTAATTCTGATTTTGTTTTAAATTAATTCTGATTTTTTAAAAATTAATTCTGATTTTTTTTAAAATTAATTCTGATTTTGTTTTAAATTAATTCTGATTTTGTTTTTAATTAATTCTGATTTTGTTTTAAATTAATTCTGATTTTGTTTTAAATTAATTCTGATTTTTTAAAAATTAATTCTGATTTTGTTTTAAATTAATTCTGATTTTGTTTTTAATTAATTCTGATTTTGTTTTAAATTAATTCTGATTTTGTTTTAAATTAATTCTGATTTTGTTTTAAATTAATTCTGATTTTGTTTTAAATTAATTCTGATTTTGTTTTAAATTAATTCTGATTTTGTTTTAAATTAATTCTGATTGTGTTTTAAATTAATTCTGGTATGTTTTAAATTAATTCTGATTTAGTTTTAAATTAATTCTGGTATGTTTTAAATTAATTCTGATTTTGTTTTAAATTAATTCTGATTTTTTAAAAATTAATTCTGATTTTGTTTTAAATTAATTCTGATTTTGTTTTTAATTAATTCTGATTTTGTTTTAAATTAATTCTGATTTTGTTTTAAATTAATTCTGATTTTGTTTTAAATTAATTCTGATTTTGTTTTAAATTAATTCTGATTTTGTTTTAAATTAATTCTGATTTTTTAAAAATTAATTCTGATTTTTTTTTAAATTAATTCTGATTTTGTTTTAAATTAATTCTGATTTTGTTTTTAATTAATTCTGATTTTGTTTTAAATTAATTCTGATTTTGTTTTAAATTAATTCTGATTTTGTTTTAAATTAATTCTGATTGTGTTTTAAATTAATTCTGGTATGTTTTAAATTAATTCTGATTTAGTTTTAAATTAATTCTGGTATGTTTTAAATTAATTCTGATTTTGTTTTAAATTAATTCTGATTTTTTAAAAATTAATTCTGATTTTGTTTTAAATTAATTCTGATTTTGTTTTTAATTAATTCTGATTTTGTTTTAAATTAATTCTGATTTTGTTTTAAATTAATTCTGATTTTGTTTTAAATTAATTCTGATTTTGTTTTAAATTAATTCTGATTTTGTTTTAAATTAATTCTGATTTTTTAAAAATTAATTCTGATTTTTTTTAAAATTAATTCTGATTTTGTTTTAAATTAATTCTGATTTTGTTTTTAATTAATTCTGATTTTGTTTTAAATTAATTCTGATTTTGTTTTAAATTAATTCTGATTTTGTTTTAAATTAATTCTGATTTTGTTTTAAATTAATTCTGATTTTGTTTTAAATTAATTCTGATTTTTTAAAAATTAATTCTGATTTTGTTTTAAATTAATTCTGATTTTGTTTTAAATTAATTCTGATTTTGTTTTGTTCTTTACCTGTTCAGAACTAAATATCTATAAACAAATTGGACACACAATCCATACAAATTTACAATATAGAAAGTCTGTACGACAAATAAATAACTTTGGTAAATAATTTTGTTAAAATTATTTTTCATAGATTCAAAGAAAATCCCATTAGTAAAAATAAAAATTGAATTTCCATTGCTGTCATTTAGAAAAATCTTAAAGTGTAAATTTAATTAGGATTTTTCTGATTTTAAAAAATTTTTACCATTTGTAAAAACATTTGAGATGTTAATACAAAAATATCCAAAACACAATTTTGTATCAGAATTCTGCTGTGTGCTTTCATTTCTTTTGGTGTTTTAAAAATAATTAAAATAATCACAATAATGTTTAGAGGATAACCAAGTAATAAACTTGCCCAAAAATCCCATGAAAGTAAAATGTCAATTAAATTGGACATTTTTTTAAATTTTATTTTTTAATAATTTTATAGTAAAATAAAGCTAACGTAAAATAATTTTTTTAAATAAAATGTCGTAAACAACTTTTAAAAATACAAAAAATATTTTTGAGAAAATTTCTTTATTTTAATTAAAACTGTGAGATATTTAACGCTTAATTTAACGCATACTTGGTGTACTTTAAAAAAACTTTTCAATAACCAACAAAAATTACAAAGCCAAAATATATTGTAAACAATAAAAAGGGGGAAATAAAAAATTACAAAAAAAATGTCTACAAAAATATACGCACTATTTCTATTTAAATTTCATCTCGCATTCTACATAAGTTCTAAAGCTTCGCCGGAAGTTCCGGTCCGGTAGGTCGGAAGTCATCATATAGGAGTGAGCGGTGAATATTGTCTGGCGGATTAACATATGGAAAATTATGGAAATGAAAGTGCTAATTTTTGTAAGCAAACAGGGCGGATAGTGTGTTTTTCGACGTTTCAGACCCTAAGCAATTCAGGAAAAAAACAAGGATTTCCATATAATTGCCAGCCCCATTTATAACATTGTTTAAAACAAGTACAAATCAGAATTAATTTAAAACGAATTTTGAAAATAATAAAATGTGAAAAGCATTTGTAAACATATAAAAAACATTTTATTGTGGATGTATTTTTAAACGATTAAAAACAGCTTCTTTGTACGGCTTATTAGTTAATATACAAACAATTGGGTTAAAAACAGGTGTAAAATGAGTGAATATTACAAGAATTATATAAATTACACTGTTATTTTCTTCATGAGAATTGTTTGTTTTGACATAAATTATACCATGTACAAAAACTATAATTTGATTCATAAATGGAATAATTGCCTGAAATTTAAAATTAAACATAATTTATTCTTAATATACTACTAGTAAAATGACTGATCCCATTATATGTACAACTCAGTGTAAGGAAGAGAAAGATCCAGCTGGCTAGCATTACTAGGCGGGGGTTTAAGACCTATTAAAAGAGAAGGTGAAAGCAGCGTCCCGGTAGCTCAGTTGTTAGAGCACCTGTACGTGGTGAGCGAAAGCGCTTAGCAATAACTGACGCAGGATCGAAGCCTGCCCGGGATTAAACTTTTACCAAGAGGCCTAAGCGATACTTCCACTATAACAAGACAAGCGTATAAAATAAATTTTAGATACCAAAAGTATCAAAGTTTTTGTCAATTGTTTAAGCAATCTTTTCATATTTTGATTAAATCCAGTATGTGAATTAACATAATAAACCATTTTAAATCCACAAACAAAAATTATAAAAAATGGAAGTAGTACTGCAAAAAGGTTTAAGGGTAGCGAATACAGCTGAAAAAAATAATTTATAAATAGGGACGGGAGAGGGAGGGTTGGGAGAGCCACAGGAAAAATTTTAAGAAAGGCAGCGCCGCGTGGATGGACGTGAACGGGAAAATTTCAAAAAATAACACAAATACCAAAAATATCGAACACCCTGAGGAACTTCAAAATGTTACCGTAGCGTATTACGGGCCATAATATGAAAAATACCGGAATACCTACAGTAATACGATACGGAAACTCAATAAATAACGAAGAATACCGTCGTAGCACGGTCCGATCCAGACTTGCACACGGATACGGATATGGATACAGATAATATCAAAATGCCTGCAGATATCCGCTGTATCCGCCCGTATCCGCCGTAAATATCCGGATACGGATACCAAGATCAGTATCCGTGTGCAAGTCTGGTCCGATCTTTAGCCCTAAGTGCGAGGTACAACTATAAATTTTGGTGCAGGCATTCACGCTCTGTCTTAACTTATCCATTACATATGTAAGTTAATTTGGTTACTTCGAATTTCGCTGTAACAAAAGGCAGTGTTTTATTTAAATATCCTTCTTCAAACAGTTTAACACCTCCGTCAACAAAGTGCATAGCATAGTTAAACCAAATTAGATTGTAAACCAAACCAATAATTAGAACAGTCGAGAACATATACAATAAATAGGTTTTAAAGTCAATTTTCATGTTCCTGTTAATTTATGTTCATAATTATAATATCCTAATCTTTCTTTAAATAAAGGCTAGACGGCTGTAGTGTTAAACTATTTGGGGGCCAGAGTCAAACTATCTGGGAGAGGGGAGGCCAACAAATGTTCAAAATCATAACATGAGAAACTTTTTTCTACCAATGAGCTACTAGGACAATAACTAAAGCTTTCTTTCCCTTTTTCTTTTTTAGATTGTTTAACCCCCGCCTAGCCATTTAAATGCTCTATTTGAATCATCCTTACTCATAATTGAATAATTTGGCCGGTTTATCTATTATAATTAGGGAACTTGAGAGATAAACTATTTTGATTTAATTCTGATTAAAATTATTTGTTCTTTACCTGTTCAGAATTAAATATCTATAAACAAATTGGGCACATACCCCATACAAATTTATAATTATTAAAAACTGTACAATAATTATAAAACTTTGGCAAATAATTTTGTTAAAATTGTTCTTCATAAATTCGAAGAGAATGCCGTTAGTAAAAATAAAAATTGAATTTCCATTGCTGTCGTTTATATTAAACTTAATACCGTATTTGCTCTAGTAATCCCCCAGGGGGATTATAGTTTCAACCCATCTCTAAAGTGGGGGATTAATAGAGCCTGGGGGATTATTAGAGTGGGGTAGAAAGAGGGGGATTATTGTTTCAACCCATCTCCAGGGTGGGGGATTAATAGAGCCTGGGGGATTAATAAAGACTGGGGGATTAATAGAGCAAATACGGTATTCAAATTTAATTCTGGTGTTACTTATTAGTTTTAATTAACGTTTGTTTATTTATTTTAAATTTGTGTTTAAATTAATTTTGGTTTATATCTATAGTAGTTACCCCCCCATTCTAATAAAGCCCCTCCCATCTGTTCAATGTGACTTTTAGAAGATGTGGGACCTGATTACTAGCCTGTTTACTAAGAAAATTTTTGAGTGGGGCAAAAATTTTCTTAGTCCCCAAGTAGTCCTAAGGCTGTGCAGTAGGCGGCGTGCTGTAATGGCTAACACATCAGTCCGGTCTACTGAAGTTGCTGGTTCGCTCCCAGCCGCCGAATAACCTTTTGCACTAGCTTAAGGAGAGAAGCAGCTATAGCCCAGCTGCTTTACTATAATAACTCTTATTTATTAGTGTTTTCTTCAGAAAAAATATAATTTTGTTCAAATTTAATTCTGGCCCTTTCAGAGTTTTTACCCCTTGTATAAGCATTTGAAGAGTCAACATTAAAATATCCAAAACACAATTTTGTATCAGAATTCTGCTGTGTGTTTCCATTTCTTTTGGTGTTTTAAAAATAATTAAAATAATCAGAATAATGTTTAGAGGATAATCAAGTAATAAACAACCCCAAAAATCCCATCCAAGGAAAATATCAATTAAAGTGGGCATTTTTATTTTATTCAATGTTTAAATTTTTCTAGTAAAATAAAATAAATTATTGTTACGAAAAAAACTTTTTAAAAATACAAAGAAAACATTTTTGAGAAAATTTTTTTATTTTAATTAATTTCGTGAGAGCTAATTCTGAGCCAAGATACTTTACGAGCAACAAAAATGGGATCTCAAAGTCCTCGGCATTTTGGCTCATTTTTTCCTTGCGATGGTTCTCCTCCAAATTTGCTCTTTCTCACCAAAAACGTTTATTGACTGTTGGCTACAACTTGAATTTGATTTGGGCTGCTCCCCCTATTTGATCTACCAAAATAATTGAAATGCGACTCTACTTCGGCAACTAGTCTTTGGGTTTACTACAATTCGGGTAAATGTCCAACTCGTCCTCAACATGTCCGCAAACGACTTTCTTCCCACTTTTTCTAGAAAATTTTTACCCGACCCCCGAACCTCTAATCCCTAACTTGAATATTTTTTTTTGGCAAAAACCCCGACCCGACCCCAAAGGCTCTACCAAGATAAACTCCGATCTCCGACACACCCGACCCTGAAGGCTCGGAGTTCTACCCTACTTTAAATAAAGAATGTGTCATATTTTAGAATCGGAAGACGGAAGGCTGAAGAAGGCGGAATAAAGAATATGCGGAAGACGGAAAAGGAAGCCCAATCTTGTACTTTATAACGGCTTACCTGGTATGTCTCACATGTCAAATTAGCGCCGGAAACATTTCCGCTCGAGACTGATTATTTTATTTCCTTATTATTTCATAATTTAAATATTTACTCGAATTATATTTCCTCATTACCAGACTATAAGGAAAGTGCAAATTTGTTAATATTATTTTTTAGACATTAACAAATATTTCCGCACAACTTATTTTTTCTCAAGTCTAAAATGAATTAACATTAAAATTTCTTTAAAAATTAGAGGATTCTCAGTCTAAATTTTAATATATTTTTTTGACAATAATAAATCCTTCTAAAAATTTTTTAATTAAAATGTTAATAATTATTTTAATATTAATTTTATTTCCAACAAGGGAACATACATTTCCAATAACTAAAAGTATATATTTTATATTTAATTTGGTAATTAACCATTATATGCCCACAAATTGAGTGCCGGTCGAGTTTGATCGGCTATAACTTTTTGATGCTTGATCCAACACAAATAAATTTTATATCATTCGAAAGTCCTTAATAGGCAGAATTTTTTTTCCAATTTGATGGATCAGATCTGATCTAATGTTAAAAAGTCATAAACCGATATATGTGAAAAATACCAGTTAACTGGACTATCGGGTTATATGTGATCACTACTTAATATGTGATAAGACTTGATCTATCCTATAAGAAAAGAGATAGTAGATGAAGGTTGATAGTTAGAATAGGAAAAGAGATACTTAATCTGGGTTGCCCATTTAAGAGCTTTCCTAAATGCTCAACGGCAGAGACATGACCGAGACGAGATCTCGATCGTAAATCTCGATTATCGAGATCGAGGATTTTTCGAGATCTTGATTCTCGTACAATACGACACTCTCATTCTGGTCTCTACTCAACTGCCCCACAATGAATTAGAGCCCCACACTAGCCCCCCCCCCTCCCCCCAATTAAAAAATAAGTACATTAATTTACCTATTTTTAGCAATTAATGGATGGTATAATGAATTAAGATTTATATGGAATCCTCTAAATACTGAAAAATTTCAAAATATTCTAGAAAGACAATATATGGATATATTAACATTAACAAATAATGATAATCTTAGAATGAAAAAGATTCGCCAAATAACTGTTATATCCTCTCTATTTCTGTTCAAAAAAGCACAAGAGAAATATTTGATTCAATCAAATTCGTGGAGGGAGTTTGTATTTAATAATATTTAAATATCGTCGAATCTCAAAGGATAAAAAGGATATCGGTGACATGGTAGATAAGGAGGGATATTTGTAGATTAAAAGCGGTATCGAATGATTAAAATTAAGAGGGTTGGGAGAGATAGTTAAGGATTAAGAGGGATTTGGATGACATTACCATATATACACGCTTAATCCCTAAAATCGCCTGACACCCAGATGTAGTTCAAATCTCCCCGATATACCGAAAGCTTCCGTCAACCGAAACCAAAATTTGTCGAAAATTTAAAATTTAAATATAGAAAGGTTTAGCAAAAGTTTAGCCACCGGGCAGGATTATAACCTGCGACCTCCTCGTAGTTATTGCTAGGCGCTTACGCCACCGACATACAGGAGTTCTACCACTGAGATACTGAGGCATCGACTAATGCTTACTCTTTTATCGTTTTAGACCGTTTAACCCCCGCCTAAGCGTTTTAAATGCTCTAAGGTACATCATCCTCAAAATATTTTAAAATAAATTTTAAAAATATTATAGAACAATTAACAACTCATATGCTTATTATACTTATAAAATCCCTGCCGTATGTTTGTTATTTGAATTTAGAAGACAACTTGGAGAAATTATAATGCTTAAATTTAATTATAATAAAAAATTTTTTGAAGATTTAAAATATAAAAGAAAACCAGAAATAAATTGTTATGAACAAGATAATTCTTTAAAAATAATGGAAGAAAATATTGATATAATTCATGAAATTAATTTTTTAGTTTTTGATAAATACTTGGTGGAAAAACGGAAATCTTTCAAG